TAATGTGAAACAGTTTTGTGAAAGCATGGGTGCTGCAGTGGCATACAGTGTTCTGGAAATACTTTGTCTGATATCCTCGCTGAACCTCTGAGAAGAGCAGAATGAGGCTGAGCTCTCACATGGGCCATGGAACTCAGCTTTTCAGGGAGTGTGGTCACTTGAGAGTGGAGTGGTCACAGCTCAGTGCACTGACTGCAGTGTGGTAGTCAGAAGAGGGTGAGAGGCAGGTGAAGGCGGAACCACATCAGGTGAGGGTTAGATGAGGCAGTAAGGTGGAATAGGAGGGGTCTTATGAATGGATGGAGAAGCCCTGCCCACTCACCCTGGCTCTGCCCCCCTCAGGCCATGGACAGCAACTGTCCCTACACCATCTCTGCTGGTCCCGAGGGTTGAGCCAGACCCTGGGTTCTCACACCCTGGAAGGCAGGAGAGAGCAGTGCAAGGCAGAAGCATGCACCCTTTCTCCTGACTGGTGGGGAGGCAGCACTACTTGGAAATGGATCCTCCTTACTTGAGGGATAGGTTCTCAACATGAGGTCCCAGTCCTGCAGCATCAGCCTCACCTGGACCCCTAGAAATGCAGATTTCGGAGCCATCCCCAATGCTGCCAGAATCTCTGGTGTGGCACTGTGCAGAGGGAGTCGGGGCTTTTGTGAGAGGACAATGGGTGTAAGCGGCCCCAACACTCCAGGGAGAACAGAGAGGGGTGCTTGCTGATGGCTCCTGCCCCATCCACAGAGTCTTGTCCAGCTCCATCCTGGGCCAGGCCCACCCAGCACCAAGCAAGGTCTTTGGGCGGGGACTTTATATGTACGCAGAGGACCCAGAGCCCCAAGCGTGACCGTTCTTCCTTAGGTTGCTGGCCAGAGAGCTCTTCCCCCACCGCACTCCCCCCCACACCAGTACAATCAATTGACTCACAGATGGCACAGATTCCCATCAGGCAAGTGAGTTTTCAAAGGGCATTTGGGGATGAAGCCTGGAGGGAGTCAGGCCACTCTCTCCCCTAGGAGCAAAACTAGGAGCCATGCTTTCTTCTTTGAGAGGAGCCCAAGTGTGAAGCCACTAGAAAACACAGCAGATACCACAAAAGGAGCAGACAGCATGGGTGCTCCTGAGCTGGGGCTTCACCCCTCCAACTGCACACCTTTCTGAAGGACATTTCAGATGTCCTTCACCAAAACAGTGGTTCTTCTTAAACTAGTTCAAGCTGTGTTTCTGCTGCTTATAAGGATTCTAACTAATTTTAAAAAATGAAAAACATGTTAACAGTTAAAGCTAAATTTTGAAAAACAAAAATTATACCCCCCAGCAAAGTGCTAACACTAGTTGGTACATACATTCTGTAGCAACAGAAAACCTAGCTGGAAGTCGGGTGCCAGTAGCTCATGCCTATAATCTTAGCTACTCAGGAGGTTGAGATTGGGAGGATTACAGTTCAAGTCCAGCCTATGCAAATAGTTCAAAAGACCTCAATCTCCAAAAAATAATCAGAGAAAAATGGACTAGAGGTGTGGCTCAAGCAGTGGAGTTCCTGCTTTGTAAGCCTGAAGTCCTGAGTTCAAACCCCAGTCCTACCAAAAAAAAAAAAAAAAGAAAATCCAGCTGGAGGTGACTGCAGTAATAGGGAACTGCTTTGTGCCATGGCAAGAGGCACAGACCTTGAGAAGGGACTTGGATTCCAGAGTTCTCTTTTGCAAAGCACCAGTGCCTTGTTTTCCTCTGCTGGAGTCTTAGGAGGGCACACCTACCATGGTCACAGCCAGAGCATGGCCACGCACAGGGATCGCTTGGCCTAGTGATTTACAAAGTGTGGTCTATGGATATTGTGGGTCTCTAACAGACTGTTTCATGGCCATGTTGGATTAGGACAGACCCTCACAAGCTCATCTCAGCTTGGTTACATGTGCAAACACCCTATTTCCAAGTAAGGTCACATTCAAGGGTATGGGGGATTAGAATCTCCGCATCTCTTTTTTTAGGGTCCCATTCATTTAATACATGGGAACCTTTGTCCCATTTTACTTTGCACACAGGATTGCTTCAGCATTGGGATAAACTATGCCTGTTATTTTAAAATAGAAGAAGCTTGAAACAGTTAATAAAACTGGAAATGGAACCCCATGGTGTCCATTCCTCTGGATGTATGACACTACCCAGAAGGTTTTTGGTATCTGGTAAGGGGCTGGTCCTCTCTGTACTTACTTGAAAGTGATCCAGTGTGTGTGGAAGAGAACTTTGCCTGGTTTTTGGAAAGGGAAGACTCTATAATCTCTAAAAACTGTTTCTCTTAAGAGGACATGTCCTAACCTGCACTGCAGGAGTTTTATTTAGTGAATTATTTCAGATTTCTGGAGTCCTGATGAGGGTGGGTGTTAAAAAGCATGAAAGGCAGGTATGGACAAGCAAAAGGCCATTTGACTCTCCAGCCTCAGCCTCCTCCAAAGTGTTCACACCACCTGCACCTTCTTGTGACATTTCATCCATGCAGAAGCATCCCTCTGTCTTCCTTGTATGGCTCCTGCTAGCCAGGGCCAGGTCTCTCAGAATAGTCCAGGACATGGGCAGACATTTAGGGAGGAGATTTCAGCCTTGTTCAGAAAGGAATTTTTCAAGCCCAACCTTGAGTTGGGCAGAAGATGGGCTAGCATTGTCAATTCCTCCACTTGTTGCCTGGACTTTACACATTTATCGTAACTGGGGGTTGGGGAGGATATCCTTCAGGAAGCTGGGGGCTCTGGCAGTAGGAAGCCTTCATCCTTTGGGTTGTGAGGTAAATAATTCTGTTTGGTGAGCCTTATGCTTACCTGAGGGCAAGAAGATGGACATCCATATGTGGATATAGTCCTCTGCTAACACTTCAGTCAAACCTCTGTATCTGCAGGTTCTGCATTCATGGACTCAACCATGGATTGAAAATATTTGGGAAAAAAATTGGGTCTGCCGGGTGCCTGTGGCTCACACCTGTAATTCTAGCTGCTCAGGAGGCAGAAATCAGGAGAATCATGGTTTGAAGCCAGCCCAGGCAAATGTTAGCAAGACCCTTCTCAAAAAAAACCCATCACAAAAAAGGGCTGGTGGAGTGGCTCAAATGGTAACAGCACCTGCTTAGCAAGCATAAGGTCCAGAGATCAAACCCCAGTGCCACAAAAAAGTTGTGTCTGTACTTAACACGTACAGACTTTTTTTGGTCATTATTCCCTAAACAAGTGGAAACTATACAACATTTACATTAGGTATTAAGGATAAGCTAGAGTTGTTTAAAAGTATATGGAAGGATGTGGGTAGCTTCTGTGGAGATTCCATATCATTTTATATAAAGGACTTCAACATCCATGAATTTTGGCATCTGCAGAGGGGAGTATGTGTGGCCCAGACCAATCCTTAAGGATACCAAGGATTTTTTTTCCTTTAATCTTGCCCTTCAGATCATAGTTGCCATCTTCTGGCTGAGTCAAGACCAGCTTAGAGGTGACTATCATGAAGGTGGTAAGCACCCTGGGGAGGGGAGAAAAGTAGGCACGTATCTCCCCATTACCTCTCTAGGAAGTGGTCTGGCCATTGCTCTGAGGCCACAGCTGGAAACAGCTGAGCAGGCTGACCTCCTGGCTGTTGGGTGTAATTCCTGATGGGGGCTGAGGGCTTCCTGATCCCTATCCTACCTGAAGCTGGTGTTGTTGTAGAATAGGGAGCCAGTAGATGAAAGTGTTCTGCCTTAACCAGGTGTCAAGGTACTCAACTGATTGTAATGCTGGGACCAAGAGTTAGAGATGGAAAGAGAAACACCACCCAGGGTTTTCAGTTTTTTGGGGATTGGGGTAAGGGGCAAAATCCCACCTCTTCATTTGCCATCCTTCCACCCCCTAGTCTTTCTTTGTGACTCTGTCAGAGTTCAGGCTGGCCTTGAACTCTCCATCCTCCTGTCTCAGCCTCCTTAGAGCTGGGATTACAGATATGCACCATCTCACCTTGCCTGATCTTTTTAATAGTGGCATCATCAACACCTAAATCAGCTGATCAATCAATAACCAATAGGTTTGGCAAATCAAGCTGGCAATTCAAGTGAGTACAAATGACAGCAGTAAAAGTCTTGACTTTGAGACCTTTGTAATTTTTTCCACTTCCTTTTTCGCTTCTACCTCTACCCCAAACCCAGTGGGGTCGACAGCACTTGGTGTGCAGTGCGCTCCCCAACATAGGGTGGAGGACATGGAGCGGGGGAAGCACCCGCATTTCAGTGTGTTTGCAGATGGAGCCCACCGTAGCGGCTGCGAAGAGAGAGCGCTATTAAACAGACTGCCAGGACCAAGCCGAATAATCCAACTGCCACCTGGTGAGACGCACCAGCGCAGACAGCAAGCCGGGGCCCGTGCCCACTGTTCCCTGCGGGGATACATGCAGAAGCGCACTTGCACACATACGTACACGCACGCAAACACCTACAGAAGAGCACATGTACACACGGACACGTGCCCACGTACACGGGCGCACGCGCACACAGGCTCCTCTTGGGTGGAGCCTTGGTGGAGCTGGGGGGGCTACTCCTGCGGTCGGACAACCTGCTGGTTCCTGCGGCGTACGTGTCTGCAGACCAGACTGGCCATGGCCGAGTCTCGGTGGCTCAGGGCCCAAGGCCCCTTCCTCCCGCCACCCTCGAAGCGAGTGCGTGGCGCTAGCCGACGCACGCGGGCGAGTAAACACCCGGCCCCGCCTCTCGCCTCACCTCTCCCCTCCATTGGCTGCGGGAGCAGAATCCCCGCCTCCTGCTTCTTCTGGCTCCGCCCTACCCCGTCTCTGTTTCTCCATTGGCTGAGAAAATAGCGTCCTCTCAGGAGGGGCGGGTAGGGGTGGGCCCGAAGGAGGTGTTGAGAGCTAGATGGGCAGGTAATTTATCCAATAAACGTGCATATTCACCCCAGCAACTGCGACCCACCAATAGCGAGGTGGGGAGGGTAAGGAGGGGTGGGGCGAGACAGGCCTGAGTGAGGCTGTCAGGCGCCCGCGGCGGAGGTGGCGGACGCTGGGGCCCGCGGCGCTCTGAACAGGCCACCGCCTGTGTGTGCAGCCCGCGGGCCCGGCATGGGCCGGGGCGCTGGGCGGACAGGATGAGCGGTTTGGGCAGCCCGGTGCGGGCCTACGACTTTCTGCTCAAGTTCCTGCTGGTGGGCGACAGCGACGTGGGCAAGGGCGAGATCCTGGCGAGCCTGCAGGACGGCGCGGCGGAGTCCCCATACGGTCACCCAGCGGGTGAGCGCGGGCGGCTGGTGACGCGGAGTCCAGGGCGAGAGCCTGCGGTGTGTGTGGGAGGGGTGGGGGGAGCGGGAGTCGCGGAGCCGGGGCGATGGAGCCGATCCGGAGGCCTGGGGACGGGCGCGGCTCGGGAGTCCCGGGCGCCGGCCTCTCCCCGCGTGGACCCGCGCGCTGCCCCTTCCTTTCGCCGCGGAGTGCGCGGACCTAGCGAGCAGCTGGACAGGAGCTGGGTGTCACGTCCTGGGGGTGACGGCGGGCCGAATGGGCGGGAGGCGGGGAGCCGCCGCTGGGATTTGGGGAAGTGGACGTCGAGGGAGGCCACATTTGCGCGCGTCGCGTTTGCGAAGGACACGTGGCCCCGGTACAGGGGTGGCGAGGGCAGAGGTGATCACAGGCCCACAAGGCTGTGGCTCTTTGGTGGGTAGGAGAACTGCTGGACCAGACCCAAGCCTAGGGTCCCCTGAGTACCAAAACCCAAGGCTCCTTCCCCCAGGGGACCGGACCTCTAGGGAAAGGAACCCAAGCGACCCTGGCAGAGTCTGGCCAGGGAGGGGGAAGGCCCCCCATCAGAGGAACTGGAGAATGGATTCCAGGTGAAAGGAGACCAGACTGAATCAGGCTCAAGGGCAGTGGGCTGGATGTCCCTCCAGAGGAAGGAAGGAGGGGAGCTGAGAACCAGAAAAGATAGAACCTGGGCAAGGAGGTACAAAAGGAGTCAGGCAGGGACCTCACCTGTGGATGTAGACTGTGGCTGTGCGCTGACCGGTGTGACCATCTTTTAGTGTCATCTGCCCCTCAGCCCACCTAGGGGACCTCAACCCACCTTCCCAGCACTGACCTCATCTTGACTCTCGCTACCCTCTACCCTCTGAGCTTGCAGGCTGCTTCCTCAATCTCCAGCTCCCAGGGCCATGCCTGGGGTCTGGCCCTCAGGTGAGCAAGTGGGGCTCTAGAACTGTGTGGTCCAGTGTGCTGTTATTATCCCCTGTGGCTGCTGACTTCACCCTGGACAGCCCAGAGCTAGATCTCTCCCCTGTGACAAAGTTCTGCTGGACGGTGCTGTCCTGAGGGCAGGACTGTGTCCATAGCCAAGTCTTTAGAGCCTAGCGTTCAGTGAAGCATGAGATGCAGCAGAGGCAAAGGAATAACATGTTCTTTCTTTTCTTTCTTTCTTTTTTTTTTTTTTTTGTGTACTGGGTATTGAACCCAGTGCTTCATGCATGCTAGGCAAACACTTAACCACTGGGCTACATCGTCCCAGCCAGGGATGAGACACTTTTGACAACAAAGGGCTGGAAGTGTGGCTCAAATGGTAGAGAAGCAAGTACCTGGTTCAAACCCCAGTACCACACACACACACACACACACACACACACACACACACACACACACACAATGACACTAGATAAATACAAGTAAGGGCAGGTTGTATGTGTGTGAGGAGACCTTTGAATGTTTGAGTACCATAGTAGATGATGTGGGCAAATAGAGTGATGTGGGCAAAAGTGAGGAGGGATGTGGATGACATGTGAACAACTTCCTTCTGGTTGGTTTCATCAAGGCTCAGTGTCCTGCTGCTGCATGACTGTGTCATAGGTGGAACCAAAGACTGCTAAAAACAACTCATACGTGCTTTTTCTCCTGAAATTCTCCCCCTCCCATCCAAGTACTAAGCAGGCCAGAGGCTGTTGAGCTTCTACGATCAGATGAGATTGGGCACATTCAGGAGTTAAGTTTAAAAAAATTTTCTGTGAAATGTTTCATCATCAACATGGCCAAAACATTGCAGAAAAGAACCAATATCATGGATGTGCCCTTTGGGGGCTTTTGATTTATGAAATGTTTCTTCGAGAGCAAGAAAAATAGTAAGAAGTTGGGTAATTTTTTTTTTAAAGAAATGTATGTCTCACTGAGAAAGTCTTGGTGCTCTAGCTGTGAAAGCTGAGGTGTTAGCCAGGTGTCCTAGAAGCCTAGCACTCGGGAGGCTGAGGCAGGAGATGGTGAGTTTGAGGCCAGCCTGGGGTTGACCCTGCCTCAAACACACGCACGCACATGCACATGCACACAACGAAAGAGAGAGAGAGGTATTTACAGTTTCACACCCCTCCACCCATACCCTGATTTTATAGCCCACACAGCAATTTTTACACTGCTGAGGTTTATAACACTCTCTTCTGTTTTGTTGGCTATAATGCCAACAAGTGCTCAGTATTAATTCAACATTTAAGTGGATTGCATTCCTGCTGAAGTCTTTTCACCTTGGCTACTCCTGAGTTCTCTGTTATTTTGCTGTCCCTCTTAATTAGCTAGTTTTCACAGCCTGATACTTTTTTCAGGAAGGGCTTAGAGCTCTCCTGAGTTGCTCCTATCTGAGATTATCTGCCCATTGCCTTTATGGCTGGACAATGCCTTGGCAGGGAGCAATGTTCTCAGAGTACACTCTCATCCCAACACCTGTAACTATTGTTCTACTACCTAAGGTATTACATGTTGCCATGGTGAGGCAGCAAGTTAACTCATTTCTTTTCTGATGTAGGTTATTGGCCTTTTCTTAATGAATTTCTGAAAAAATTTTCCCTCATAGTTCCTTTCTTAACTAGACCATATCTGAGTCAAATTTTTTGTGTTAAACCTCTGAAACATTTTGTATTCCGAATTCCCAGATATATATTTTCTTAATTTCAGAGGAATTTATTTTGTGTCTTTAAGATATCTTCTGTTACTTTTCTTGTCTCTACTTCAGGAACACCAATTGTATTAGTTTCCTATTTGCTGCTATGACAAATCACAAATTTAGTGGCTTAAAACAACAGAAGTTTATTCTGTCATAGTTCTGGAGGCCAGTAGTGCAACACAGTCTTGCTGAACTAAGGGCAGAGTGTAGGTAGGGCCCCTTCCTGTCTGGAGCTCTGGGGGAGAGTCTGCTTTCTTGCCTTTCCAGCTTCCAAAACCTGCCCCCAGTCAGTGGCTCTCAGCGGCTCTCAGCCCCCGACCTCCATCTTCAGAGCCAGAGATGGCCATTGGAGTCTTTAGCACTTTGATGTGGACTCTCCTGTCTCCTTTTCCTCTTTAAAGAACCCTGTGACTATGTTGTGCCCACCCAGACAATCCAGGACAGAATCTCTACTTAAGGCAACCTTAATTCCACCTGCAACCTTAAATCCATTTCCCATGTAACCTGAAGTAGTCACAGGATTGGGGCACAGATATCTTTCAGAGGGTTCATTATTGTGCCTGCCACACCAGTTATTCTGACGTTGGATGGCTCTGTCTTTGCACCCATTCACATCTCTCTAGGGCTTCAGTCATTTCCATCTCTCTTCTGTGATTATTCAAGTCTTTCTTGTCTACTGGGAGTTTTGATTTTCCTAAATTGTCTCCAGCTGTTTCTAATTTAGTTGTTAGCTCAATAATGATGTTTTCATCTCCAGATTTTTTCTTAGTTTTGCAATTTTCTTTTTTTTTGATACTGGGATTTAGCTGGGATTTGAACTTAGGGCCTCAGGTGCTCCACTAGTTGACCCTTGCCCTCAGCCTTTGTTTGCTTGAGTTATTTTGCAGGTAGAGTCTTGAGTTTTGAGGCTAGCCTCAAACTGTGATCTTCCTACCTATGGCCTCCTAAGTAGCTAGGCTCACAGACATGTGCCACCATATGCAGTTTATTGATTGAGATGGGGTCTTGATAACTTTTTGTCTGGGCTGACCTCAAACTGCAGTTTTCCTGATCCCCACCTCACACACAGCTGGAATTATAGGCATGAGCCACTGTGTCCAGCCTGCAATTTCCCTTTTTTTCAATCAAAAAAATTTGTGTGGTGAGACCTGTTGAAACTATTCCAAGAATGAGGGAAGAGATAAAGGAGAATGACAGAGGGGGCGAATATGAAATATTGTAAGAACTTTTTTAAATGTTACAATGTACCTCCAGTATAACAATAAAAAATTATTTTAAAAAACCTCTTCTTTGAACTCGTGTTTTACCAACTTTTTAAAAAATGTGCTGTAGTGTTGAAGCAATCAGATTGGATGTTCTACTCCTAGGGTTGTGCTCAAATGAGTTTCTTTATCTCTGTCTCTTTCTCTTTTTTAACTTTTTGTTGAGGTGTGATATACATGTAGAAAGTGCACATATTATAAATGCATAGCTCAATGAACATCTACTAACCTAACACCCCATGTAATAAGCATTAAGATTAAAACTGGGACAACACCAAGGGCCAGGAGTGGTGGATCACACTTGTAATCCCAGTCATGTGGCAGATGGTAACAGGGATAAGGCCAGCCCAGGCAAAAAGTTACCAAGACCCCATCTCAACAAACAAACCAGGCCTGGTGGTGATGAAATCCCCGATACCCTGGAGGTGTAGGTAGGATGCAGGACTGAGGGTAGCCCTGGGCAAAAAGCATGAAACCCTATATGAAAAATAACTAATGCAAAAGGCCCCAGGGCTGGGTCAAGTGGTAGAGTGCCTGCCGAGCAAATGTGAGCCCCAAGTTCAAAATCATCCCTGTTGTCTGAGGTTATAGGCTGCTTATTCTCACGGTATATAAAATCCCTGTGGGACTGAACCATGACTTTTATCCTGCTAGTCATGGCATTTGGGTGGTTTCTAGTTTCTGACTATCATGAGTTCTTCTACCTCGAATATATGTTGTACGTCTCTGTGTTTCTGTTAGAACATGCAGGCATATGCATAGGGTTAGCTTTACTAGAGGCTCCTAAAATGTTCTTCAGTTTGCCTTCTGCCAGCAAATTACCAGTTGCTCAACACTTGGTTCTTTCTTCTTTTTTTTCTTTATTTTTTGGCAGTATTGGAGCTTGAACTCAGGGCCTCACACTTGCTAGGCAGGTGCTCTACCACTTGAGCCACTGCACCAGCCCTTTTTTATGATGGGTTTTTTCAATATAGGATCTTGAGGACTATTTGCCTTGGCTTCAAACCATGATCCTCCTGATCTCTGCTCCTGAATAGCTAGGATTACAGGCATAAGCCATT